TGAGTAATTATTTCTGATTTCATTTTTCCCAGATCCTCTTTTGTTGCCAGTTCAGAGAGTCCAGGTGGCTGAGTATTCGATTGTTCCATCTCATTTCCCTTTGGGGTTGCTGTAGGTGATCCAGAAGTCTGTTTTTGAGGCTTGTTTATGTGTCTTCTCATTTCCAGGTCGGGGGAAGTGTTCTTCTGGCACCCATGCGGCTCAGCTTCTCTGCCCTAGGAGCTTGGGATGGTGGTGGGGGAGCTTCCTTCTGGGTGCTGGGACTGCCTCAGCTTCTCTGCCCTAGGAGCTTGGGATGGCGGCGGGGGAGCTTCCTTCCAGGTGCTGGGACCGCCTCAGCTTCTCTCAAGGCGATGCTCTGTACCACACAGAAGACACCTCCCAACTTGGGGTGACCTAGAACAGCAATTATCTCCAGGGTCTGCCCCCGCCAGCCCTCCTGGGCCACCGCCAGCTCTATTTCAATTTTGACTCCTGTGCAGGTGCACATGCATCTCCAGGGTTTATTTTTAATAGTAAAACTTCTATAATTTGTTGGTATTAAAACCATCATTTGCATATCATTCTATAATTTCAGTTGCCTGGATTTTCAGAAAAATTTTCAGTTGTTTAAAAACATAAAGGGAATCTTTGAAAGTAGTGAAGCAACATTGCTTTTTATCTAGCAGAACCTTTACCTAACTAGAGAATTTTGTTCTTCTGGTTGCAATTCAGGTGACCTTCAGATGGCAGTGCTTTCATTTGAGAAAGATGATGACAGTAATGGACACATAGATTTCATCACAGCTGCATCCAATCTCCGTGCCAGAATGTATAACATTGAACCAGCCGACCGTTTCAAAACCAAGCGCATAGCTGGTAAAATTATACCTGCCATTGCAACATCCACTGCTGCAGTTTCTGGTTTGGTAAGCTTATTCTTTGAATTAAAATGTTCCTTTTTCACTGCCTGTTTCCTGTGTTCCCCATCATACCAACCCCAACTAATCCCTTAGAGATAGAGGATCGTATAATTTTAAATGTCAAGGTACTTCTGAAAATACAGTAATTTATTTTGAGGTTTTATGTGCATAAACATTTTAACATAAAAGTTTAGTTAATAGATTATAACTTTATAGGTAGTAATCAGTCATCTTTGTATCTCTATATAAAGTAAGTACTCTTTTTCTTGAATGAATTAAAAAAAAAGAATTGCCTTAAACTTTTAAGTAATTCAGAATTAAGTTTTGGCTTTTGCTTTCAGAGTAGCAAGATTACATTTACAGTTTTTAAGTAATTATTTACTTTGTATAGAACAGATTGAAAGTTTGAAAGTAAAATATTAAAAATACAGAGACCTATAAAAGAAATATGTATTACTCTAATCTTATAACTACTTTTACTGTTTCAGAAAAATACTTGAAAAGAACTTTAGAAAACTGAAAAGATCCAATTAATGTCTAGAATTATTTTAGGCTATTTATGTAATCAGATGATTTGCTTTTACCTAGGTCGCCTTGGAGATGATCAAAATAACTGGTGGCTTTCCATTTGAAGCATACAAAAATTGTTTCCTTAACTTAGCCATTCCAATTATAGTATTTACAGAGACATCTGAAGTCAGAAAAACTGAAATCAGGTGTGTACATAGCTCTGTTTCTCTTGTATAATGAGAATGAGATCAATGTTTCACCTTTTAAAAGGGATAAATATTGGTGTTGCCTCTCCTTTTCTTCTGTATGTGTAAATTCTTGTCATCAGTTCGAAAGTATGTCAAACCCCATCTTCATGGAGCATTTCTGGCTAAACTAGCTAAAGAACTCTTACAGCATTTGATCTTCCACACAATTTAGCATTATACTGCATAGGCTCATCTGGATCTAGATAGAACCCAATGAGTTAGAAGGCACAGTGGTGTCTGACTGTGGATTATGGTATTTAGGATCTAATTCTACAAGCCTCAGACAAAGGAAAATAACTCCTGGGGCTCTATTTTATACTTTTCAGGTTGGCAGCAACCAAAAACTCGTGGAAAGAAATTATGTGGCAGGAAAATAGGAAAAAAATCAGGCGTTTATACATTACTTATGTGAGTGCAAAAGAGAATAATTCGTAGTAGGGGAAATATGGCACTGTATTTCAAATTTGCAAATATATTTGCACACATCTTAAATTACATTTATGCCAGATAATCATTCTGACATTGGTTATAATACCCAGTAATTGGAACAACCCAGATATCCAGTAATAGTAGACTATATCATCCACACAGTGAATGCCTCAAGCAAGCTATTTACAAAGAGAAGACAGCAGAACGCTATGACAACTGATTTGTAAGGAGTCACTGACAGGATCATGAATGCGAGATCAAAGTTGTTAGGTGCTATGGAGAAATAGTCTGTAGAATATTTTATAATTTGTATATTCCTTTTTTCACAAATTTCCAACTCAAATAATGAGCTATAGGCAGTTGTTTTATTCTTACTAGAGGGAAGAAAAATTAAATATTTTCCTGAATGTTTTTCTACAACAGAAATGGAATATCATTTACAATTTGGGACAGATGGACTATACATGGAAAAGAAGATTTTACCCTCTTGGATTTTATAAATGCAGTCAAGGTGAGATACTTTTATTCATTTGGCTTGTTACTGGCTTTGAATGTGGTTTCTGTTTATAGTAGTTGCTCCTTATTTTCGAGGGTTGCATTCTAAGACCCATAGAAGATGCCTGAAACTGCAAATAGCCCTGAGCCGGTATCTCGGAGTTTTCTCCTCTTCATACATACCTATGATAAAGCTTAATTGTAAGTAAGCACATTAAGAGATTAACAGTGATCATAATATAAAAGAGAAGTTGTAACAGTATACTGTAATAAAATCTTTCTGAGAATACCTTTTGTAGAGTAGATCTTAGCAACCTTAGCATGATTTCTTTCCCCAAGAAGTTGAGAATCATCATCTTTTCACTTTAAAAAAACACTTTACAGCTATTTTTTAGCATGTCTGAATTGCCAGTGTTCAAAATTCTTGAATTTTGGAGTCATTGCTATGTAGGGGTTATTTGAACACTGCAGCAGTCAGTCTGATAACAAGACAATTCCAGCATGACTAGTGAGAGGCAGTGTGTACAGCATGGATGTGCTGAACTGGGGGTCATTCACATCCCAGGTGGATCAGAAGGAACAGCTTGAGATTTCATTCCACTACTCAGAATGGCATACAATTTAAAACTTTGGAATTGTTTATTTCTGGAATTTTCCGTTTAATATTTTCAGACTGTGACTACAGAAATTGAAAGCATGGATAAAGAGGGACTACTATAGTTTTTACCCATAACTTTATTGGAAGTAATAAGTATTATTTAGCACTAATTTGTTTTCTTTTCACTGACCATAAAGCATTTTCACCTAAGTATTTTATGTTTGGATGAGGATTTGATTTTTTCTCTTTTGGATATTCATTTTTAGGAAAAGTACGGAATTGAGCCAACAATGGTAGTTCAGGGAGTTAAAATGCTTTATGTTCCTGTAATGCCTGGTCACGCAAAAAGGTTGAAGTTAACGTAAGTAATTTCAGCTGTTAATATGCAAAAGAATCAAAACATAAGTAGATGCACACTAGAAAATTAAATATAGAGGTATTGAAATTCAGGAAAAAGCATTACTGCTGTGTAATAACTTTACTAAGATAGTAAATCTGCCAGAAGAGAAGAGGAAGAGAGAGAAGGCCAGCGGCTGGCTTTTTAAGGAGTATCTCAAGATTACAATACTCTTGTGAATTTACAGTCAGCTCTTCATGTAACAGGCTTAGAAACTTGAGTCAATACACTAAATAAAAGCAGCCCCACCTCTTAAGTGCCATAACAGGGCTTATGAGAATGCAGTGTAAAACCAAGTGCTAGAGAGTTATGCATTTATTCAGGAGATTCTTGCTCGAGATGCCTCCTGTGCAGGTGCTATCATAAGCATTAGGATACAGTGAAGAGCAAGCCAGAGCCCCCCACTGGTGGAGGGATCTGCATAGTAACCAGACTGGATCAGAGATGGCAAGTGCTGTAGAGAGGGTAAAGAAGAGTGAAAGAGGGGGATGCAGGCATGGTGGTCCTGAGCTGTTACACTTAGAAATGCAGATACTCGCTCTGCCTATCACATCCTCATACAGTAAAATGGCAGTGAGCAGAGAAAGAAAGGAAGAAAGGGAGCCAGAGAAAGCCGTCTTTATAGTGTTCTGAGATCCCAGATGACCTAACTTTCCCTTCACAGTATCCCGGCATGCTGGCCTCCTTATTAACATTGCCTTGAAAAGTGACCCCAGTCAGCGTCCAGCACAGGATCTTTGCTCTAGTTGTTCCGTCTGCTTGTAATTCCTTCTGAGATGGCGACCATGTTAATTTAGCTCTTGCTTTGCACTTCCTGTAAAGGCCTTTCTGAACTGTATTTAATACTGCAGTCTCTCACCACCTAGCACGCCCTCTTTGTTCTTCTTTTTCTTTTCGTGGCACTGATCACTGAATTATATGGCTACCAGATATTCTTCTTTAAATATTTCTTTTATTATCTTTGCCCAATTAGAATATAAGTTTCACAAAGGCAGGAATCTTTATTTGGTCTGGTCATTTTATCACACTTGGCAGTTTTAAAATTATGTTAATCTTGATTATCTTTACCTTAAAAATGTATTAGCGAAAGCATTAATTTGCCTTATATTGTTTTTCATTAGGATTCATGAGTATCTTTGGGATAAATTAAGTAGTATTTGGAATTCTTTAGTTGTGAGCTACCTAGTTGAAAGTGGAATATATAGTCATAAAATGTATTGATCAGTGGATTTTAACATTTGCTTCAAATAAGAAAAATGTTTTTGAGAGTTAGCCAATATTTGATGCCTCCAGCATGATATATTTTGTGAATGATATTTATAATTTTATTACACTGTTAATTTAGCAGGTATTTATTGAGTACCTATTAAGTGGCCGGACACCTTACATAGTCAGTGATGTTGCAGTTCAGAACATGAGCTAGCTTAGCAGTGGATTTTCATGCTTGCACAGCTACTTGTTCTGTCACAGTACCGTCCAAATTTCCTGTCTACAGATACGAACAATTGTGTTCAAAGCTGTTTAGCGTTAAAATAATTGGCATATACAACAGTGTAATGGAATGGAAGAAGTATAAATGGTACTCCTGTTAATATTTTGACATTACACATAGTCCTGCTGTTAGGAGTTCACAGTCTACTAAGGGAAATTAATGTTAATCATTAATTAAATGTAATTGACTCATTATAATAAAGACTTTTATAGTGCACCATGGGCACTACTAACTCAAACCTGTAGTTCTGAGTAGATTTCATTTACTCTAGCTTTGAAGAAAGGATATTCTTCCTTGCAAAAGCAACAGTTTATACAAACATGTAGCTTAAAAAGGAGCATGCATGGGTGGTTGGAAAGTGAGATATTTTGTAATCACCTTAAAGGTTAATGTGATGTCAGTGAAGAGTGGAAAGAATGAAAAGTTATGTATGCAACAAAGTATCTTCATAAAATGGAAAGGGCCATTATACAGGACTTTTTAAATTACATAGTTCAGAGCCTAGCATGAGGTTGGTACTTACTATATGATCCACCACATCAGATACTAGAATGATACCAAACATTTTAAGAAAATTGTAACAGCAGCTATGTAGGGAGAATGGAGACTAGAGACAGCTTGCATTTTAAGATTTTTTTTATCTAGCTTGCTATTTTACTCTTTCCAAAGAAATGGTAGAGAACTTATGATCCCTCTAAACTTTATATTCCTGTATAGAAAAGAATTGAATTTTCAAAGTCATTGCTGACATTTTGAGTCTGAGAAAATAGTCATTACTTTTTATCATTACCAGCAGTGATCTAGATTGATTCACTCTTAAATAAATGAGTGTCTTGAATTCAGAACTTTTAAATAAAAATGCATATATAAAAGCAGATGGACTTGATTTTAAAGTAGAATATAGATACAAGTCCAGATGTTCTGGATAGCATTTTAAAAATCATTCTTTCGGACTGGGGATTTAGCTTAGTGGTTCTGCCACCTGCCTCACAAGCACAAGGTCCCGAGTTCGATCCCCGGTACAAAAAAAAAATCATTCTTTCATGTGACAGAATTATCAATGTATCATTCTTGCTTTTTTTCTTAGGATGCATAAACTTGTGAAACCTTCTACTGAAAAAAAGTATGTGGATCTTACTGTGTCATTTGCCCCAGACACTGATGGAGATGAAGATTTACCAGGACCTCCAGTGAGATACTTCTTCAGTCATGACATCGATTAATAGAGGTGACCTTAAAGTTACTCCACAATTACATGGATTTATAAAAAGCTTAAAAAAAAATCAGCTCGTAATACTGTGGATTTCTCTTTGAAGAAGCCTTAATTTAAGGAAAACATCAGTAAGAAACTACATTGAATAATTAGAAGACCTTTTGGAACATAATATAAACTTGTCTGATGCTTCACACATGGCTGTGATAACAAGCAACTTTTAATTGGAATACCATTTTGTAATACAACAAATTTGTGTCTTAAGCTCTCTGGAAGAAAATGAAACAAAGTATTTGTCTATGGCAAAAAGAAAAATATAAAGAAATTGAAAGTAGTGAATGCAGCTATCCAAAAAAGTTAATCTCACTTTATAAATTTCTTTTTGTTTGGTATTTGAGACCCATTTTTCAATACAAAGGCTGTTCAGCACCTTGTGTCTCTTATGTGATTAGGCTTCAAAATTTTAATACCATTGGAAGAGGAGAGACAATAGTGGTAGATGAAGAGTAAAGATTTTAAATTGTGTAGTTATACTTTACTGTCCTATTACCTCTTCTAATTTAAAGTGTTTATTATATCCCCATCTCCCCCGAATCAGGATTTTTTTTATATCATCAGTGTTGTAAGTCATGAGCAAATCAGATGACATATGTTGACTTAAACTGTATTATATATGTATTATATGGACTTGGACAACCCTCGTAGAAAATCCAAGAATGTGAACAGAAATGTGGCTAATCATTTGAACTTTAAATATGCCTTCTGGTGTGGGTATTTTATTTATTTGGAACTCTAAGCAATTGTGATCATGCGTAAGACTAGAAAGTTTTGTAAAGGGAGTATCCTCAGAAGTAGATGAAAACTAAAAATTAAAAATATCACTAGTAAAGTCTTGATTTTTTTTCTTCTAGCAATCTAATGTTAAGAAAAAATATGTTTACTTTAAAGGGAAATATATTGTTTTATTCCTCATTCCCAGAAAGGGGATTAAAAAGGATAAAAAAAATATTTTTTAGGTCTTTATTGAGAGAAACTTTCTGTTTTCTAATAGAAACTATTGCAGATAAAAGTGCTTTCATTAAAACTATGTGAAGTACTCAACACTGAACTCAATGAGAGCAGCAAGGGATCCCTTTACTCCTAAGGCTGACTTGCTTTCAGAAGCATTTGGCATTTCATAACCTCAGGAAGTCTTTTCCCTCTAGCTCCTTTCTGCTCTCCTGTCCAAACCATTCCTAGGTACTTTGATATTAAAAAATGGATGCACTCTCATTTGATAGCTCTTTATACTCTGTAATTACTTTCCTTTTCCACTTAAAAATAGTTTATTTTTTTTTTCAACCACGGGTTTTGTTTCCTTTTTTTGTGAAGGTATCATCCATTTAGGAAAATGTATTTGGAAGTGGAGAGTCAATTTGAATAACTGAAAGATAACCTTCTCATTGAGAGATAGGGGAAAGTGAACAGTAGGAGTTTTAAGAAAATAGCTTTCTTGGAAATAAATTAATTTTTGATCCCCATATCCTACCCTCTTCCTTTGTATATATTCCAATATTAAAAATTAACATTACCTAAAATTGAATCCAGGAATATCAAGGCTCTGTGTCTTCAAATCGTAGAAGATAAAAATAAAAAATAATTTTGTATTAAGAAGCCATTTTCCACTTTCACTTTGTACTGTGCTCTTTGACAGTAACTCATATTTTTTAGGTAAACATTCAGCAGTCCTCAAGTATTACCTCATGCTTGCTTATATTTTAGCTAAGTGTCCACATCTTTTTGGAAGTAAATTTAGATCCAGACTATCAATTCATATTTATAGGAATCAGTGCTTTAGCAGATATAAATAGATGATTAAGGATTAAGTTCATTTTGTGATTAAACCTGCAACCATTTTTTCCATAGTAATGATTACTGCTGTCCTTTCTTCTAGTTAGTTCTACTAAGCTCGAAAGCCAAGGTGAAGTTAATGACAATTTTTCTCATTGTTTTGTTTGTTTCTGTACCATGGAATTAGTGTTGGAGGTTGACATACTAGGTGCAAAAATTTGTCTCAGTTCCACTTTTCCATTTTTACTTTAAATTTAAAAATAAATGAAGAAATTTGAGAATATCTATAGAACATATTTATAGTTGGCTCCAGAGATTCTGATTCTGGCACTTATTTTGTGAGTAATGTTGCTTTGATATTTCCTAATTTTCATGGTTTGGATTTGTGGAGATAGAGCATTCATTTGTTATGGGGGAACATTACTTCACAATGCCTTTGGCACCTTGAAATTCTGTTGAAACAGCTGGGCAGGGGTGGGCAGTGTAGCCTAGTGCTAGCGTATGTGCATAGCACACATGAGGCACTGGGTTCAGTCCCCAGGACAGTCATTCAATTAAGTCAGCAAAAACAGGGAAAAACAGTTGTTATGTGAAACTTCATCTGGTAAATTCCACTCTGCTGGTTGGGTATTTCTAAAATTCATTCCTTTGAGAGTTCAGAGCAGTTAAGTCCTTCATAAATCATCCCAAAGGTAGAACTTGTAGAATAGTATCTTTATTTTTATATGTTATCTTTGATAGTTCATTTTGGTAATGAGAGTATCAGAGCTTTAAAAAAATTCAGGTTTTTTTGAATCCACAATTTATAATTAGTAAAATGAACAGAGAAAATAAGTTGTTCTCTTGAAATCTGGATGGAAAATTTCTCTTTACCTAATTTTCTCAACTACAATGAATATCACAAATTTATTGTGACTAAATGCATCTAGTTTAGTGTGCAGTTACTGGATGTGGTTGTAGCTATTTTACTTGAACAGATTCAATAACAGAAATCAGGAACTTCAGATCTTGGGGATCAGAGTAAATATCAGTAAGTAGTTTGTGTTCCCTTTTCTCTTTCCATGTCTTTAAAAGCTTTGATTTTTTTAAATTGATGAGACATATATTCAAAAAATATAAATGCAAGAGAATGCATAAAATACAAATGCACAATTTAAGGAATGATTTTAAAGAGACTATATACATAACCAGTCTTCACAGTAATAAAACATGGAGAGCAGCTAACAAGTTCTCTATAGTTCCTTCCCCTCCCAACAGCTTCCTCATACAGCCTTTGGTGATGACCACTGCTCCACCTTTGGGATTACTATGTCCTTGTTCTTACAGTATGACCTATGTATGTGAACCTGAACTCTGCAGTTTATTTCTACTTGTTTCTGAACTTTATGTAAAGCAATCTGCCTTTCTTGGTGGCTTCTTTCATCAACATGCGGGTTCATCAACATTGATTGTAGCTATTTGTCATCATTGCTGTATAATTCAACTTTGCATTAATATACCATAGTTTACTTATTCTGTTGATTGTGGACAATTGGGAAGTTTTAAGTTTGAGACAATAAATTTCTACCATAAAACACTAGGAGTAGAATTACTTGGTTATGGATTGCTTACTTTTTCATGTCCTAAATTTTATTAAGTAACTACAGAAATTTTCCTAGATTTCAGACTCTTATGGTTAATGCTGATGTTAACAGGTTTTTTTGTTTTGTTTTTGTTTTTGCTAATCTGGTACATGTGCAGTTGTATCTAATTGAAATTTTATTCTGAACTTTCCTATTTACCAGTAAAGTTGAGCACTTTTTCATAAATTTATTGGCCACTTTGACCTTGGTTTTTGTAAAATGTCTTGTCAATTTGTTACACATTTTTTTGTTGTGTTGGCAATCTTTTTCTTTGATTTATAAAAGATGTTTGTAAGTTTTTGAAAAAAATCACTTCCCGTATATGTGATGATCATGAAGATATCCTTCTCTATTGTCTCAGAGAAATTTGGTTTTGTTTTTTATACTTGTTTTTAATTCACACGGAATTTTGTGTGTGATAGATAATGCTTCTCCACAATTTACTGAAAAGTCTGTTCTGTTTTTTTCTGCAGTGCCACTGAATGACATAGGAATATATCCATATAAATCTTTTTCTCAGTGTTTGGTTCCTTTTCTTTTCTATCCCTGTGCTAGTATGTCTTTATTACCATAGCTGAAAGGTATTTTTTATAACAAGCAAAGCAATTCCTCTCAGCTCACCATTTTGTGCCTTGGTTATTCTTAACCTTTTTGTATTTTCAGTTCTCAAATTTCTAATAGTAAATATGCAAACTTGTCAGCCTCACAGTTTCCTAACCACATTTTAATCTTTTGTTTAGTTCTGTGTCTAATAACTCTAAAGTCTAAAATCCTCCTGTGTTTGTTTTTATTTTTCTTTTGTTCTTTCTAGTCCTTATTCTTCTGTTACGCACCTGTGTGTCTCATTATGTTTACTCACTTGTCAGTATTTAAAAACCTACTGAAATAATTTGATGCCCAGGATGATATTTTCATCCTCCACATTTTCTCATTTGCTTCTTCCAGGTACCTTGATACTAGTAACTCAGGATAATTTTGAGATTTTCTGGACCTTCAAAGCCGAGTTAGATTCTTCTAGTGCTTACTTCTTATTTCCTTTAAAGTTCAGCCCTTCAGGTTCCAAAGTGTAAGTTGGGGTTACCTGAATCTTCACCTCTTGCTGATCCTAGACAATGTTTTTTAATCCTTAGCCCCTTAGCTCTGCACCTTTTCTCAGTAGCTTGTTACAGGTCTTATCGGTAAAGATCCCAGGAGGCAGTGGTCACAACCTAAAGGTTTACCATTCTGACTTCACCTTCTCACACATATTAGTAATTTGATTTTTGATTTTTTTGAGGCAGAGTCTCCCTTTATAGTTCAGGCTAGCCCTGAATTCACTGTGTAGCCCAGGCTGGCCTTGAATTCACGGCTATGCTCCTGCCTCAGCCTATCTGTGTGCCACGACGCCCGGCCAGTATTAGTAATTTGTAATTTGTTTGCTAACATCAGTTCTCTGATGCTTTCCCCTGAATTTTAAAAATATGTTTTATCCAACTTTTCCAAAGTTGTCTAGCTAGAATGTTAATCCAAATGACCTAGCCCACATTATTTCCTATTGATGATATATAAAATAAACATGATTTCTTCATACTGTTTTTGTATCCGGAAACTCAAACTCTAGTCATTTTGTAAATTATTTATTTTAGATTTTCTGTATAACTATATAATTTAGTTTTATTGATCCTTACTATTTTATGTTTGATTTTCATTCATTTCATTTCTGCTCTTAAAATATTATCTACATTTTTCCATTTTTATTTTTTCTTGGTTTCTATCTTCCTGAGATAGGTTACCTCGTTCATTTTCAACTCATCTTTTCTAACATAGGCACTATTGTTATAGAATTAAATTTATAGTCTAGACATAGTTCACAAGTTTTTATATTAATATTGTTAATATTTGTGTTAGTTTTCTATTGCTGTAACAATACCTGAGAAAATCAACCTAAAGGAAGAAAGATCTATTTTGGCTCAGTTTCAGAGATTTCCGTCCACAGTCAGCTGGACTGTGCTGAGGCAGAACATCATGGAAGGGAACACTTGAAACAAAGCTGTTTGCCTCATGGTGCCCAGGAAGTAGACAGGGACTGGGGACAAAATATACCCTTCAAAGCCACACCCCTAGTGACCTGTGTCCTCCAACTAGGGCTCACTTCCTTAAGTTTGCACTGCTTTCCAGTAGCCCGTGAAGTTATGAATCCACAAATGGGTTAATCTATTCCTGGGGTGGAACCTTCATGATTCTCTCACCTCGTAAAAGCCCTGCCTCTGATAACTGATGCTTTCAATACATGAGCTTTGGAAGACATTTATGTTCCAAACCATACCAATATTTAATTAAACTAGTTTTGAATTTTCATGAGCATTTCCTCTTCTACTCTTTGGTTGGCTCTTTTAGGAGAGTATGGAGAGTTAGCTGGGTGTGGCGGCACATGCCTGTGATCCCAGCACACAGGAGGAGAGTGTGGGATGTGATTAAAAAATATGGTGAATGTGGGCTGGGGATTTAGCTCAGTGGTTCTGCTGCCTGCCTCAAAAGCACAAGGTACCAAGTTTGATCCCTGGTACAAAAAAAAATATATATATATATGATGAATGTTTGAATTTAGAAGTTTATTATAATAAAAGACACTTTACTGTTACTCTCAAGATACTCCCTTTTGCTTTAAGCACACTTTTCTGTGGTTCTTGCCACTTTCTGAAGCAGTTCTGGAAGTCTTCAGTTGTCTTTCACTGAATGTTACGGCTGCTTCAGTGACTTGAATTGCTTCAAAACTTCTACCTTTCATCATCATTTTGACTTTGAGGAAGAGCCAGCAGTCACAGCCAGATCCAGTGAATAAGGTGGTTGAGGATACACTAATATTTTGTGAGCCTGTGTTATGGTTTGGGTCAAAATGTTCCCCCAAAGCCTCATGTGGTCATAGGATTGATCTAGAGTGTGTGAAGCTGGAATTGATTCATGGTGCAATGCTAGGTTAGAGGGCACTAGGATTAAGGGTGTGAGTGCTACCCACCCTAAGTAGTCTGAATAACTCAGTGGTTTTGCTGCCTGCTGCGCAAGTGCAAGGACCTGAGTTCGATCTCCGGTACCAAAAAAAAAAAGATGGAAGAGGCAGAGAGACACTGTTAACTTCCCTCTCTCGTTACCTTTGCTGCCTTGTGCGCACCATATTTTTCTTCTATGATGCTTGTTTGCCGTTCCAGCCTTGGGGCCAGCCGATTATGGACTGAAACCTCTACGAACTATAAGCCAAATAAACCCCTTCCTCTCTAACTTTGGATGTCAGGTATTTTGTCTCAGCAATGAGAGAAAAGTATCTTAACGCATCCTGCCTTTACATTGAATGGCCTTCAGGAACTGCATTCACCATATTTTTGATCACCTCATAAAGACACAAAAGACAACTTTCAGAGCTGCTTCAGAAGATGGCAAGAACAATAGGATAAGTATGTTCAAAGTGGAGGAGTATTTTGAGTGGGATTAAAGGCAGTGTAATTTAAACATTAATTATATATTTTGATCACCCCTCATCATTTCCAAACATGCAGTTCTAATGATCATTTTTAGTTTGATTTTCAGTTTAATTGAATTTTGATCACAGTTTTAAAAATGATCTTCCTGATTTTGATCCTTTGACACTAACCACTCGTAACCCAGAATATGGTATTTATTTTATAATAATTTGTATGCATTTGACAGCAGCATAGGGAGAAATCATAACTTCAGATGATTCCAGACCCTAGATTTCATGGAGCCATTCTTACCCATAATGAGTTTCTGACCCACCAAATTAATGAACATGAATGATTTATGTAACTGAGTTTGGAGTTATTATACAAGACATAACTATAGAACAGCTATATCATTCCCAACTTACATACTATTGTTGTGTATTTTATTTCTCTCATGTATTTTAATTGTTACCTTGTACTTGAATGTGTTTAATGCTGTGAGATTTTATTTCTGTTAATATAGTCAGTATTTGTATTTTTACACACATAAAACCAGTGTTTCTGCTGTTTATTCTTATTTAGTATCTAAGGCTGTCATTTGAACATTTGTATCTCCTAAGTTCATGTATTGACAGTAGAACCTCCAAGTGGTGGTATTCGGAATTGGGCCTTTCTTTGGGATGTGATCAGGCATGAAGCCCTTGTAAAAGAGACCTGAGGGAGACCATCACACTTCTGAGGATATAGAGAGAAGGTGCCATCTTTGAGCCAGAAGGGGACTCTCCACAGACACCAAATCTGCTGGCATCTTGATCTTGGATTTCCTACCTCTGAATTGTGAGAAATAAATTTCTGATGTTTATTATAAGCCAGTCCGTTTATGATGTTGTGTTAAAACAACCTGAGTGGACTAAGAAACATGGGATAAATTTCTAACTAAAATACTTCCTTTAGAATTCTGTTGTATGAAAGTTTCCTGTGGCATAATTGTTCATGATTTGTTTTCTGAAAATATCTATATTTTTCCCTCATTCATTTTTTCTTCTTTTTGGCATTCTAGGCCTAGAATGTACTAGGCAAGACTCTGCCACTGAACTATACCCCCAGCTCTCAAAGATATTTTTGCTAAATATAGAATTCTGATAATGGCCTTTAATATCTTTCAGCATATTGGAGATACGTATTTTGCCACTGTCTTAAAGACTTCTTTTCTCACTATTGAGACAGCTATGAAGCTGTTTCTCTTGCTGCTTCTGTTAGACTTGTCACCTTTGTTAGGCCCTGGGCTTTTGATTTTTGTCCCTTATCCCCTTCCCTTCTACTTCATTGCAGTCAATCATATTGTCTCACCATCTTCGCAAGTATAATTTTTAAAAATCTTTCTACAGTCCATACTGTATTTTCTTACAATGCAAAAATACACTAAAATTTTTGAAATGGTAAGAAATTGAAGCTCTTTAGTCATGTGTCTCATATGTATTTGTGAGACCCTTGAAAATAACATGTGCTTCTTTTGTAGTCTTTAGCATGTTCACAACGAGCCCATAATTCATATGTCTTACTGTGATGTAGCTATGATTTGAATTGATTGAACCGTTGGACAGCTTGCACCACTGGTGGTACATGCATGACTGACCTATCAGGTGGCTTGTACCACTTCTTAGGCTGTCTTTGATTAGAGCAATGCAAAGAAAGGCATTGATTTAGTAGCCCAGATGTCATCATAATACAGTTCCTTTAGGAGAAACATTAAAATGGTATAAAAAAATTGTAATACAGCTAATTTGTGGTACAGTAGCTGTAATGCATATACACCAGCAATGGGGTATTTGTAGATTTCCATGTTAAAATTTAGAGAATTGACGATTGATAAACTATTCATGAATACAAATTTAATGAAATCTGTTGATTATTGTAATGATTTTTAATTGGTTTGAATACTATTCAGTAATATTTACATCTGTCAGTAATTATTCAAATTCAAGCCTCTAGTTAGATTCAATCCATTTATAGACTATTAAACTGATAAAATTGATTAGGTTCATTTGTCTGGTTCAAGCTGTCTGATGGGATCGTCATGAATGTACCACTAGTGGTTCAAGCCAAGGGAAACATATTAAATCAGTTAACACAATAATGTATATAAGGGTTCAGCAAATACTTATGTTGACAGAGAGACTATATCCCAACTCTCATCTAAGATTCCTCTTTAGTTGATTCTCCTTCTCCATTTAAAAGAAAACCTACTTGATTTTCATATATTCTTCTACAGATAGTTTGTCTTGATAGCACAGAACTTTTTAAAGTGTTTCTCAAACTTAATTTTTATTGGAGCATACTAAAAGGTAGTTTTTTGAGCCAACCCACAGAAATTCTAATTCAGTAAATCCAAGGAAAGCTTAGAACTCTGGGTATTTTCAGGCATCCCAGATAGCCCGGTGTTATGGTTTGTGTCTAGATCTCCCCCCAAAGCTTCATGTGGTCTGGGAGGGACTTTTCAGAGGTGGCTGGATCTAGAATGTGTGATGCTGGGATTAAGGGTGTATGGTTACTAAATCAGTCCACTGATTTGTTTGGCATGGTTCTGGGTGTAGATAATAAGGCCCACCCTGGATGTGAGTGCTACCTGCCCTAAAGGCATGTAGCCTAGATAAGGGATAGAAAGAGGGCTGTTACTGTCACTTGCTCCTTCACTACTTTGCTGCCATCTGACTGCCATAAACTGTTTCTCTGCAGTATCCCTGTGCCATGTGACACTGCTTGGAGCCAGCCAACTATGAAGTGAAAGCTCCAGCCTGAGAGCTACAATAAACCTTTGCTCTTTTAACTTTGGGTGTCAAGTATTTTGTTTCAGCAATGAGAAAAGTAACTAAGATACTCATTTAATTTGCTGGTGTGCTATATAACAAATGGCTTTGTGACTTAAAAAATATTTTGTTACAGGTCTAGAGGCTAAAAGTCAGAAATCAAGGTGTCAGTGAGGTTGATTTGTTTTATTTTAATTTATTAGTATATGAGTATTGAACATAATGTTTACATTCTTTGTGGAAAGTTTGTACATGTTCATCACATATCTTGATTCCTTTTTTCATCCCCTTTGCCTTCCTTCCCTCCCCCTCCACCCTCCATCTGTCCTTCGATCCCTTCCCCTTCCGGGGGGGTGGGGTACATTTGCAGTACATAATGTTTACATTCCTTGTGTGGAGTTGGTACATGTACCTAACACATCCCAATTCCTGTATCCCCCCCCCATCCCTTGATCCCCTTCCCCTCTGAGAATGATCTGTCTCCCTGCTTCTTTTATTTTTACCCTGGGTTTCTCATATAAGAGAAACAGTACAATATTTAACTTGTGTTTTATTTGTTTCACTTAACACTATGATCTCAAAGTACATCCATTTTCTAAAAAGTGATTTAAGTCTATCCTCCTTGATGGCAGACTAGTATTCCACTGTGTGTAAAGAACACATTTTCATATCCATTCATCTGTTGATGGACATTTGGGCTGCTTCCAAGAGTTAGTAATTATGAAATGTGCTGCTATAAACATGGTGAGCATGTATCAGTGTAATGTGATGTCTTTAACTCCTTCTAGAAGATGCCTAGAAGAGTAGTAGTTGGTCAAATAGTTTTTTTTTTTTCTAAAGCCATTCTCCTTGACTTACAGGTGCCCATCTTCCTCCTCTATCTCACAGTCTTCAGTGTGTGTCTGTGTCCTAATTTTTTATAAAGACGCATTTTTATAATATGTTGGAGCTAAGAAGACCTTAGGGATGTATTCTAACCCCTTCATTTTTTCAGATCAGGAAACCCAACAAACCAAATGTCCAAGTGTTTAGAACCAGGAAGAGAATATAGGCCGTATCTTTTAATTCTTAGTTGATCCTTACTTCTTGATTCCTAAATTATGTGACCATCAAAATCAACTTTAAAAGGTTTTTTTGAAAGAAAAAAAACATGAAACAACACACGTGAGGTTCTGATGCACTACATATAGCCTGGGGCTGAGGGATCCATATTTTTAAGAAACTGAGTGAATATAATCAGCTCATACTGTGTCATATTTGTGAAAGAATGTGGTATATACTCTTACCGTCTTTGTACAGATCTGTGGGTTTTGAACAAGCAAAAATGTGAAGAACATGAAAAGGAATACATTTTATTTATTCTCAGTAACAAAATATGTGGCATGTAGTCCTATTGAAAAAGGGCTTTTACATTTCATGTCTCTGGCTTTCACGTAGATAATTTAAATGACATTTTATGAATTGGTCAGATCATATTTCAACAAAATCCTAGTGAGTTTTTAATTGGCTGTACTTAGGAGAGAATCTGCTGTGGAAATTGTATAGGGGAAATGTATTTAACTGAAGCCTAGAAAAATTAAAACTCAGTTTAGAAAGCAGTATATGTTAACTTACAGCAGTGCATAGGAATGTATGTATTAGCAAGTTACACCACATTCATAGCTTGTGGTTTCCCTGTGAGTTGATTTCATTCCAATAAATTAATTAAATCATGTGCTACATTTTTTATTAGGGTATAAGTGAATGACTTGGAAATCAGGATCAAGAGTGGGAGGTAATTCTATTTAAAAGTGAGATACTCCTTTTGAAAATACAAATTACTAAAATATATGAAGGCAGTTTTCCACATTTTATTTCATGCAACATATGGATTTTTCTTCAACTTCTTACTTGTCCCTTCAGTGTTGAGTTCTTGGCCTAGAAATTACAGGTAGAAAATCTTGATTAATTAATGAGCCAATACGATGTAACAAGGTGGTTATTTTCTGCAGGAATTGATTTTCCTGCTTGTACCTGGAACACTGGTAGCCTATTTAATAAAATTTTTTTTTTTTTTTTGGTTCCGGGGATTGAACTCGGGACCTTGTGCTTGCCAGGCAGGCAGTGGAGCCTCTGAGCTAAATTCCCAGCCCCCAATTTTTTTTTTTTAATCTTTCCGTCAATATAGACTTTATTGACATGCCATTTGCTGCGAAGCATACAGGTCTGCCTAGTCTTTTGTTTCAGTTTTAATATGCTAAACTTAAAGTTACTTCTGGATCCAACACATAAAATAAGCTACAAAAATTAGTCAAAGTTAAAACTTTATTTCTAGCTGTCCCCCTTTGAAATCATCATTTAGGTTTATAATTGAAATGTTTGCTACCAAGTAGCAAACTATTTTTTGTGTGCCTACTGTAGAATTAACATCCCCAGTCCCATAATATATTATACTTGATAATCCTTTATACTAAAGTACATATCAGTATGTCTTTAAAACTTACTTAAAATACATAACTTATACTTAACTGCTTTCATTTAGCTGGAAAGTACTGGGTAAATTACTACCTTTGTGTTTTTGTTTTTAATTTCCAGAAAAAGCTGGTCTATATTAAGCTAGTTTTTGTTGTTGTTTTGAGTTTTTTGGTGGTACTGGGGATAGAACCCAGGAGTGCTCTACTATAGAGCTTCATTCTGAGCCTTTTCTTTTTTTTTTTTTTTTTTTTTTTTTTTTTTTTTTATTTTTTTTTTGCTTTTTTTTTTTTTTTTTTTTTTTTTTTGTATTTTCTGTTTTGAGAATTTTAAAAAGCTGCCCAGACTGGCTGCAACCTTGTGATCCTCCCAAATAGCTGAGGTTATGGGTGTGTGTGCTATCCTGGCCAGTTTAGGCTTGTCCTAATAAGAAATAAACTGAAGATTTAAATTTACAAATGTTATAATGACAGCTTTATTCTAAGGCAGAGACAACACTAAATTCAATTCCAGTGCAACTTATCTCATGTCTAAATAAAGATGCTGTGTCATAGTTTTCCAATTTTTTTATCTAATATAAAAGCTGAATGACTTTTTTATATGTATGAGTTTTATTTTAGAAAACCGACTGATTATGGTACTATATTTATTGGAACTTATTTTATTAGAAGATAATTCATGTATTATATCTGAGTATATTATAAAATTTTCATTGCATCTCTCCATGTTTTTATTTTGTAACATTTCAGTTGGGTGGAGGAAGACTAGAACTGCCTGCTTTTAAGATTTAGATAAAGCTCCTAGTCAGTGTTTTAATACACATTTAAACAAGTAGAAATATATTCAAAAAGGACTATGAGGGAAGAATGAAAATTATAAAGGGAGCTTTATAGTAAAATGAAAATACATCATTTTGGATTGCCCAAAGTGCACAATACACAGAACTCTTAAGTCATGTAGTTTACTTGCTGACCATCTGGCTACAATTCAAACAATTATGGTCCCAAAAGTTGTAGCTAGTAACATTCCAAAATTGCTTTTAAATTAAGTTCCTAAATTGTAGCAATAAACAAAACACAATGCACTTAAACAATACTGCAGTTTATAAAAAACACATTTAAGAAAAACTTATTCTTTTAGTTATAAAAAATGTTTTGATTAAGTTATAAACATGTTTATCATGTAATTATTTGCATAACTCTAGAAATACTATCAGCAGCTATGATGAGAACTTTAAAGAAAAACACTAAAAACATAAAAATACTTATTAGTTCCATTATTTACTTGTAGAACATGTTCATTATGCCTACATTCAGCATTTGCTATATCATCATTGTTCTAATTTTGAAAGTTACATCCAAAAGATAAGGCAAACCCACCTACGAATTGGCATATCTGTTTATTTCTGTTTGTGAAAAATGTCCTTAATTTGCTGATGTGGCAAACAAATTTCAATGATTGCTATGCAAAAAACAAGATAATCTGCTTTGCAATTAACTTTACAGTTCAGTTGCATACAGGCAACATAATATATATGAAAAAATTACTAACTGAACTACAAGTATTAAATACTGAAAAATTAACAGTTTATTATACTTTATTTTATTTAACAATCTAGGAAGTTAACAGCCATCAGCAGTTCCAGTGCTACTTCAGGTGCAATGGGAAATTCAGGAATCTCAGTGGAGCTGTTAGTGTAGCGAACCTTGTAGGTAAAATACATGCAGACTTTTGAAAGTACATGTGAAGGGATCTCTCTGAAATTGACCTCATTGGTTTCGTTTTCAGCAAACTGACCTGGGCCACTCAACATGGCTTTTATTGTTCCTGAAGTTAGTGCACATTCTCTTTTTACCATAAACTCATGACCATCAGAAGATAGCAATTTGATATCAATACATAGCATCAGGGCCTTCACAGCCACCATAGGTTTTCTCCTCACCATCCATTATGTTCTTATGTAATTCTACTTTGGTTCCACAGGAACTTTAGTAGTTTCTTGTCCGGTACCACACAGCCACCACAGCCAAGTCTCTTCTGCCGCCACAGCCCCTACTCCCCGCAGCCCAAAATTTTTAAAATAAATACTAAGTAATGTTACAACATTACTTAGTTTAATTACAAGTTTAATTTTTATTTTATCCTGGACCTATAACCTGGTTCTCAAAATTTCCCTAGGAAGTTTTTTTCTTACTCTAGCTTAATATCCTTTTTACCTGTCCTACTATATTTTAAGTGGTTTTTAAAATTGTTTATTTCCAATAAATAAAAAGGGAAAAATAAATTGAAGAAATAATCTTTCTTCTAGGCTCATCATTCCTCTTGGCATCTAGTGGTAGAGACAGCCGAATGCTGACATGTTTAGCAAAAGTCAAAGAAAAATTCCATATTCTTTCATTTAATATTTTCTTGTGAATATATTACCTTTTTCCATATGTCCAGATTTGAACCTTAGCTATTCTACACCTCCCAGTTCTCAACTCAAGACAAAGCTAAAGGTTCTAACAGTCCTTTTTTGCCACCACAAGCTGAGTTCATATTCCTGAAACAATTCCAGGGCTCTACAAAGTTTTCTTAAAAATTCAGCATTGTCAAATTAAGTTGTGACTTTTTATAGCTCTTAGTCCTGTTTTCATTTTCATTTATTCTTTTATTTTTCCATTCATTTTCTCCTTTTGAAAGTACATGTTATTCTACAGAAAAATATTCAGTCCTGAGCTGGGGATTTAGCGCAGTGGTTCCACTGCCTGCTGCTCAAGGACGTGAGTTCGATCCCTGGTACCAAAAAAAAAGAAAGACATTCAGTCTCCAAATGCCTCTCATTTTATCTGTTCTTAATGTCATTCCATAATCATTGTAACAAAGGAATTTGAAATGTAGGGAGGTTGAATTATTTGTTCCTAATCACAAAACACTGAACCAGTTCAGTCACATAGCAACAATTTGGTTGTCTTTTTCTAAAATTGTAGGCATTTAGTATCAACAGCCCATATTCAGTTACTTCTATCTATTGTCAATTTTTTCCTTCCTGTTCCTGCTCTGAGAGCAACCCCTAGTTGGTTGTCAAGTCAAGGGTAGTCAAGTTACCATCTTGTGGCTTGTGTCTAGATGTCCCCCAAAGCCTCATGCAAGTCTTTTTTGAAGGTAACTAAATCTGGATTGTGTGATGCTAGGATTAAGAGCATGTGATTGCTAAACCACTACATGTGAGTGAGTGGTTTGGCACCGCCCTAATCCTGGTAGTCTGAGTAAGAAAAGGAGCAGAAATTCACTGTTAAAGTCTCTTGTTGCCTTTGCTACCTTGTGCACACCATGCTGTTTCTCCTCTGGGATGCCTGTTTGCCATCCCTGCCTGGGAGCCAGCCAATTATGGATGGAAACCTCTAGGAACTAACTGTAAGCCAAATAAACCTTTCCCACTCTAACTTTGGGTGTCAGGTATTTTATCTCAGCAACAAAAGAAAAGTAACACACTGTGGTGGTGGAAGTATAGGCACCTAAAACCCCAAGAGAAAATCCTTTCCACCCAGAGAACCTAGGAAAATGGCTCAGGGAAATGAGGACAGACTTAGAATTACTTTTTTTCTTTCTTTTTTTTCCTCATTTCTTTGGCAAGACTGAGTCTCACAGAACTGCACTGACAGCATTAGTAGCCGCAACTCTTTAAGAAGCCCCCTCTCTCTAGCTAGAAGAGTGGGGGTTGGGGTTAATCCTGGAGAGTGAGGGAAATCCTGGAGCAATGAGACCTGGAAAAGAAAATCCTTTAATTTTGTATATGATGTGATGCAAGGTCCAGGCTCATTGCTGAGCTATACATAACACAAAACAGCAATCTCTGAGAACAAAATTAAGATATAAACCATTACCAAAACCCTAGGCTAATAATCTCTGAGGGACCAAACCTAAAGCAGTGTGACAAACTCTTTGAAAACCAGTTTGGAACCACTTCCTACAGAAAGTGAGACAGAACTGGTTTGATCTAATTAGGATAATTGCTTGCCCCCACTTAAAAACAAAACAAAACAAAACATGAAACTCCACAAGATTTTAACAGTGTGCAAAAGTTCATTACAATAATACTGAACATGTCCAAGATACAACCCAAAATTGCTTGATATACAAAGAACCAGGAATTACTTGATATACAAAAGACCAAAGAAATGTGACCATTTCTCAAGGGAAAAGACAACAGATACCAATACTAAACCAAAATGTTGAAATAATCAAAGACTTGAAGCATTTCTGCTTCATGATGTAATGTGGTGGTTAATCTTGTCAGCTTCCTGTATTAAACACACAGGAGATTAGAGAAGCACACTTCAGGATGTGTCTGTGAGGATGTTTTCAGAAATAAGCAGAGAGTGGGAAAGAGCCCATGCTGACAGGCTTCCTCCCGATTTTCTTCCAACCAGGCCCCCATCCTGTTTAATGATGCCACCCACATTCAGGGCTGGTTTCACCTGTTT